ACTGACGGACAGGCTGAGGGGTGGGGGTCCGCCTCCCCTCTGGCCGCTCCATTGGCTTCCTCCGCTGCGGCCTTTCAGCATCCAGGGACCCTGATGACTGTCCGTCTGGCGGGGCGGAGAGACGGAACGTTCCGGAAGGAGCCGTCACCCAGTGCGGACGTGTATATTTAAACTATATCGTTTATTGCTGAAATACAACATTATTACTCTGTAAACAGAGTCATATCCAAACATATTCAGGAACTGCTTATCCACTTATAACTGTTTAAATATGTTAAAATGAAATAACATGCTCGATAAACAGCAGCTATTTGCAACGCTCTCATACCCCAGTGCTTCTCTAAGGAGCTGATTTTGTCAGTCTGTTAACTTTGGCCCGAACCCCCCCCCGACAGCCCCCCCACCACCGAATCGGCCTGCCCCCAGCCCTGGCACCTGAAGCAGGACCGCCATGCTCTGGCGGGGCGCCCAGGCTCGTTAGCTCGCTCGTTAGCTAGCCCGCTGCGGACGCGCGCCAAGCGGAACGTTCCAGATCTCGGCCCGGGACGGCCCCGCAAATCCAGCCATGTTGCCCCCCCCCCCGGCCATGTCCCCTGCCGCCGTGCAGTAGGCCCCTCCAAACCGTGCGGGACGTGTCCACAGTGAGTCACATGCAGTCACCGGGTGATCAACGGCCCTCCACAGATGAGGAAGTGGGCGGAGAGTCACAGTCGAAATCCTAACCAAGGGATGCCAGTTTCACCACATTTGATGTTACACTGTGTTTAAAGACCAGCATTTAAATACTGAGTGACACACAGTGGTTTATGATGCCTTACAGAAGAATTCTTCTGCACTCTTGAGACAATCAGGAAGCTGTGATCTCTCCTACCATCCCCCACCCCCTAACCCCTGCTACCATTTCCCATCAGCCCCCCTACTCCCTCCATGAAGAAGTCAGTCAGCACTGGTTCTTGTGCTCCTTGCCTCTCCCCAAAAGACTGGGGGGGCGGTAGAGCTTACCGTCTGCTCCCCCTTATCTGACAAAAAAAGTGCTTACTTTCTGCCTTTCCTCAGCTGTTAGAACACCATCCTTAACTCTAATTTGCTCTCCGACACCCAGACCTGACGTCTTTTCTCTGCCGTCTCCTCCTCGCTCAAGATCTAACCGCCTCTTTTAATCTGCGCCGCGCACCGCGCGCCGCGCCTCGTGTCCAGCCTTTTCGTTCATAAACGATCGCTCATTCACCGTGAAATCAACCATGTAATGACCCCTTTTAACACCGGGAGGCGACAAAAATAATATTTACAAAAAACAAATGTTGTTATTAAAGACTAGTGAATGTTGTTTTATGTTGAAATAAATTTAATATTGTTAATGTGTATTTAAAATTCACCACAGTTACTGATTCTTGATTGTTTTTTATGCTTTATTATTCTTGTAAATATCTACAAAGATTTAAACATTTCAATATCCCTTGAAGAGCAGACCTAGAGTCATGCAAATGCTTGTTAGGATCATTATTTATCTTAAAATTAGCATGACTTTAAATTTCCCCCGAAACACTTTTATCTGTTTGTAAAAACTGAGTCTGCAAATTTAGATAAAGTCATATCTGAGAAGAACAGGCTACTAATGTGATCCAGATCCTGCAAAGTTATAGCTGTTGCCGGAGTTCTGAATACCACGAACTACTGAATTATTTAATTAGTCTCAATTCATCATTAGGCATCAGGTGTAATTAAATCACATCAGTTTAACCATAAGATTTACATTACATTATAGTAATTGCTTTCAATTAGCACATTACCGTTAAGGATGAAAGATCGTTAGCTAGTGTTTTTAAGCTGTATTATATGAGTTAAAGGCATCTGAAGTGGAACATCTGAGATAATTCATCCAGTCAAATCAATATGCAAAATCTCACTGAATGTGATTTTCAGAAAAATTACAAATCCACACATCTCCTCCGCAGCGTTTCTGTGATCGATCGGTGCTGTCCAACACCAGAATGTCTTTTTTTTTTTTTTTACCTTGGATCAGAGATAAATAATAAATAAATTAATTAAATCAATGACAGCAAGCTTAAATCAGCATGTTGAGCAGCTGGACCTGTGTGTGTCCCCATACCGGCCTGTGTGTGTCCCCATACCGACCTGTGTGTGTCCCCATACCGGCCTGTGTGTGTCCCCCCTACCGACCTGTGTGTGTCCCCCTACCGGCCTGTATCTGTCCCCCTACGAGCCTGTGTGTGTCCCTGTACCAGCCTGTGTGTTTCTTGAGCTGAGTAACTAATACCACATATACCTATACAGGTAGATATGTCTGAAACCAAGCCTAATTTAAAACAAGCAGAACTACAACTCTCTCTACAAAGCATTTTTCTAAAACGAAATTAGCATACGGCTAAACGGTTTGTCGCCAGCGTCTGTTTAGCCTTTTTGATTTTCTTTCGTGATCCTGACACAGAGAGGGATACAGTGGATTAACATCAAACATTAAAGGCTTTACATATGGAAGAGCAGGTGTCATTTATCTCTGGAAAGAAAGTAAGAAGTAGGTAATGCAAAGACTTTGGTTCTGATCACATTTAATCTGCCTTATTAAGCTCGTGAGCTGGCTGTGACAGGCTCAGTCTGAAGACCACATGCAGCCCCAGGTCTGGGTCCTCTATGCTTCCTTGCCACTCTGCGTAATGTTCTCAAACGTAGCTAATCACTACTAATCTGCGCTGGACCATCAAAAAATGTGATGAGAGAGGTGGATGTCATCCTCCCACTCTATCCCGCGCCTGCCCCCCATTATTGCTGAAAGCGGCCGGTTTTTGCCGCACGCCATCTCGTCTTAACACCATCAAACAGATACAAGTTCAAAGACTAGCAGTGCGACTCATTTCTGGTCAAGGGTTTGCCTTTCATGGTCAGATTACAAGCTATAAACCACTCCAGTCTTATGAGGGGTGTATACAAAACCTTAAAGGGAACACAGAAGGTCAATCTTGATGACCACTTTACTGTTAACACTGATTCCCCAACACAAGCTCACAATTGGAAACTATTTGGGGGCCAGCATAGATCAGGATGCCAGGACACAAAGGATGGCAGAGGTTTAGGAATGGGCTTCTGAGTGTAGGATACAATCCTCTGATTATTGTGTAGACAGCCATCTTCATTCCTTAGGCTTTTGTATTCTTAGGTAGCTTTATTTGGTAGTGAATTTTGAGGCTTTGCAGTCTTGACTTGATTGCTGAGCGGTAGATGAGACAGAAACCGAATTACTCGGTGCAAAATATCGCCCCCATGTGGTCACATGCGAGTAATTCCATCGCGAAACAGGCGCACGCCAATAGCAGCTTTCAGTAATGAAAACCAAACACGCAATATTACTACATCTTCTCCATTTCCATGCAACAGTCGACCTACTAGCTGGACTGAAACTAATACTTGGCCTTCTCAGAAACGGCCATTAATCCATTCTACCCGCCATGTGCGCTTTACTGCGACCAGTGAGGCTGCGTAAGCCGCCCGTTTAGGGTGACAGTGTTACCAGTTATTACGGGATCTTAGAGCAGAAGCCTCTTAGCAGCGTGACGGCCACCGCGAGCCCGGTGGCGCGCTAGGGCTCCGCCGAAAGACATAAAGCCGAATGCGGGGAAATCCTTCACACGCACTATTATGTGCCTCGTGGGAAACATATGTGCCATTTTAATTCAAATTGTTGATCCACGCCTTATATTTAGTGGTGTTAGTGATCAGGCGTTTAAATTAAGTGCTGCATTAATTCATACCAGACAATGACATTAGTTTTTTAATCCGCAGAAACAAGAAGGAGGACATGCAATCATGCAGGATGTGTTGCGTGTGCAAAGTGAAATTGGCGCGCCCCCCCCGGAAGGTGGCGCCTTAGGCAGCCGCCTATGTTGTCTGTTGGATTGAGCAGCCCTGGTTACAGCGATGCGGTGAGCGTGCGGCTGGGTACACGGGGTACACCTGAGCGGGATGGTCGGACATCCAATGGTGCCGTCACCCAGGTACAATCGATGGCCCTCTAGTGCATCCCCATGTCACAGAAAGTATATCAGCATATATTCATTCACAGTCTTTTTGATATAACATTGAGCTATAACAGCATGATAAAGTTCCTGAAATTCAGTTACGGCTTTTGGGTTTCGCGTGACCCCGTCTGGCCACCCGTATGAAAAATATCTGGGATACAACAGCAAACAGAGATATCACAGTAAGTCATGCAGATCACATAGAAGTGCGATGCTGTGCGACTCACAATTCAGTGTGAAGATGCTGATGCTGCTGATGATGACCGCGTCCCCGCGTTGCATCAGCCGCCCATGGAAGATGGATGGATAGATGCATATTACGGTTATAATCTGGCTAATTATTTATCTATAATATTGTAGAATAAAGACAGTACCGAAAGTGTAATGTCCAGTGTCTTTACTACTTTTCCTTACAAGACAATGTGAGATTCATGATTCTTTGTCATCTCACCACATCAGGACACACGCACACGGGCATTTGTGTACCATGACCCACATGGCCACCGGGAAACGTTTCTCTGTGGCCTCCGTGCAATTTGCGGTGAGGTAAAGATAAGTTTTAAATATATTAAAAGCATTCGCTCATTTACATCTCTGACAATCAGTCATAAATTCAACATACTAAAACAAATCATTGTGAATTAACAATATAGCCACCTGTTTGCATGCGTACATGCTCCATGTCAAGCCCATATATGTACACACATACATATTGCATAGAGACAGAGATAACGTAGATAATGCCAACAAATGTCGATAAAGAAAATGTAAAAAGCAAAATATTTTACGAGTAGCCTAATTTATTAAATAGTTAATACAAGAATAAGCAAATTATTGTAATTTCACAGTTATACCCGCGAGCCTGACCAGGAAAAGCAGCTTGACGGTGGATGTAAGGATTTCACACTCTGCGGCTGTTCTGAGAAGCGCGTCTGTATCTTGGCGACTGCGCATGCGCGGCTAATGTCAAACATGGCCGCCACCGGTGGCTCCGCCATGAGGTCTTTCCTTAGCGTCTGCAGGGCTTCTGCTTTAATTACTGCGAAATCCGTGTCGGGAAATGTGCAGTCAGTCACCGCAGCGGCTCCCGTAAGTAGTTCTTATTTGTTTTTCACGCTTAGAGTGTTAATTTACCAGTTGAAGCAGGTGTATCTGTCAGCTCCGGTAGCTGCTGTTGACCTACCGGTCGTCCAGTCAGCTGTCATCTCTCGGCATGTCTGTTGATTCGCTCAATTATCAGATGTACATATATAACATGATATGGATTTATTGTCGCTTGGACTAACACATATATACTTCACCACGCTGATTTAAAATCCCTTAATTCCTCTTTGCCCATGACCTCTCTGGGACTGCTGTAGTGACTTAATGACCCTTATATCTCATCACGGAGAAGGTAAAAATGCAAGGACTCCTCGTTAAAACCCGCTTGTCTTTCTACTTAATGAGTCACTTGGCCCTCTGGGTAGGACAGGAAGATGCTGCCCTCTCAATTGCTGTAATGTGCCAACAATCCCTCCTTCACACTGTAATGTAAAAATACAGGTGTTGTGTGATGGTCCTGTCCGGCAGTCCTCTCATCTGAGAAGTACGGCATGCAGAGCTCTAACCTCGCAGCCTCAACTCCCCTAGGTGCTGCCACGTCGGGTTCACATGAGCCCAGCCTCCAGTGGCAAGCACCAATCATCTACGGGCCAGGAGAAGTTTTCTGAGGAGTACATCAAGAAACAGATAGAGGAGTTCAACATTGGAAAGAGGCATCTGGCAAACATGATGGGCGAGGATCCTGAGACCTTCACCCAGGAGGACGTGGATGTAAGAACCTCAGGCTTGTCACTGCATTACTGCCTCTCTGGTCTCTTTACAGATGTTCAATTGATTGTTCTGTAATGCAATGCAGTCGAATGGAACACAGAAATGATATTTTACCCCCCATGGAGAAATTGTCTTTTCGCTTTCCTTGCTTCCCATAATGTCCTCAGAAGGTTGCATTTTCTTATGCCAGAACAGTCAGTATATTTATCAACTTAGTTATTATACTTTACGTAGTTACTTAACTTAATTTTTGTCCACAGGAACATGGACTATTCACCTATTTTACTAGTTTAACTTAAGTTCAACATAATTGCTCCTTAAACGGCACGACCGTGGCAGGCTCCCGCATTCAGATCAGCACCCTTCCTGATAGGAATCTCTTTCTCTCTCCTGCTTGGTGCCTGTGAGTTCATGGTGTAACGTTTCACACAGGAATCACACTCTCGTTCTTCATTGTGCTCTGCGAGATTATCGCATGTTTGGTTACATGTGATGCGAGTCACGAGGCTACTGTGTGTGTATTGAGTTGCTGAAGTAAAAAGTGGGTAAAAGGCAGATTGAATTTGATTTAAACATAGATACATAATCAATCAAATGTCAGCACAGGTCAAAACTGTTAAAATACTGCAATGTGAACATTTATGGAAAGAGAGTTAAATTTGTAAAGTGTATTTGAAGTCTGGATAAATAGATCCATCTATTGCAGTAATTATTCACCAAATTCATCTTTCTAGAGACTAAAAACAGGTGTGTGACTGAGGAGCAGGAGGGATCACTGCTAAAATGTCTGGATTTGGGGTTTTGCTGAAAGTGGGGCGTGTCTGAGCCTCGGTTGGGAGCACGTGTGCCCTGGACCCCAGACTCAGGTGCAGCTCTTCCTGCGTGTTCGGCAGAGAGGCCGTCTAGCAGGTGCCGGCTAGCGCGTGCATTACGGTGCATTAGCGTCGCTGCACGCCCACGGGTTCGCTGGCTTTAAACGCCGCGTCTGTAATTACGCGGCAGAGCCGCCCGTAATTGATTCGCCCTGCCGTTTTGTTTTTGATTTTTTTTCCCATTCCTGATGCCTCCCTCGCCGCTAATGAATGAAGCCGTTAGGACAGGCGTGCATAAGCCAAACTGACGGCAGACACCCGGACACCAGATGCATCGTGGGAGAGGGGTCATGGGTCCCACGCAGGCACCTGCGTGCCGTCGGTTATCTCCGGAAAGATCAGTGGAGTTGACAAACGTGTGAAGCTGCTGATGGCGCTTAACAGCTGGGGGGATGGAAGGGGGGGG